TTAAATAAAATTCTCTTAATATGTGTATAATAAATTATAAATTTAGAAAACAAAATAAATTGATGTCTTACTTATAAGATCAAATTTAATTTTTAACTGATCTTTATATTAACGATAAGAAGTAGTACAAGTTTGTTATGTTAGAATGGTCAGATTTATACATAAGACTAACAATACTAACAAAGTAAAGTGAAAAGATTTTAAAGGCCAAATTAAAGTTGGTAAAAAAAAAAGTATAGGCGGCGAATGGTTTTCCCTTTGATTGTCCAAATAAATCAATCGTGTAAATTAAAATGTGTAAATAAAAAAGGAAAAATTGGTAAAAAAATTCTTGGTTGAAATTTTAATTGACAAAAAAATCTGAATTTGAGCAAGTGTAAGTATGATCTGTGAGTATAACATGTCTTCCGCTATATGCAACATATCATCAATGATTTGCAATAATGATCAATACAGAAGTTATTTATACAAAATGAAAGATACGTTGCACATAGCAGAAGACATGGTATACTCACAGATCATACTTACACTTACTCAAATTTATCTCCTTTTAATAAATTAAAATTTCAATCAGGGATTGTTTTACCCATTTTTACAATAAAAAACCGGGGATATAACTATGAAGAAGAAAAGGGGAACGCGTCCGCCTTTTTGTGGGCCAAACGAGACAATAAAAAAAATGAATAGGAATGTTTTCAGCGTAGCCCCCTCTTTGGACCGGCTAAAGTTGGGTTAGTTTGTCAGACCCAACCATTTTTCTGCTACTATTGTCATGATATTCTTTTAGGGAAAAAAAAACAATTGCTGAATTTTAAAATTTTAAATCAGTAATTATTATAAAAATATATTGTTATTTACTTTTTTTAGTGTATTCATTTTTTTATGAGTGTAGTAATCAATACTAATTTAGAATTTTGAAATTCAACAGTTATCTTTTAGAAAAAAGGAGAAGAATTAACATTAAAATAAAAAAAATTTTATAGAAAATGTACAAGTTGAGTTCTCCAAAACTAAAAGTATGGAGTTGAAAAATTAATAACATTAATCAGAGAAGTTTGAGAAATTGCATTTACATCTCTGAGTAACACCAATTGGAGTTAACACAAAGTTAAAAAGATTAAATATGATGTTGAAAGTTTATTACATTATTGTTGTGTGATTATCAATACTACAGATGTAAATAGAACTCCTCCTATTTTAAATATAAGACTCATTTGAGTCTTATATTTAGAGCCAAAAGAATATTTTAAGAAAAATCACAATTATAAATGGAGAATAATTTTTTTAAATAAAAACGTGTTTTGATAAGTGAATGTGTTGCATTATTGCTTTGTTGATTTTTTTTTTTAATGGCCAACTATTACTTTGTTGATATATCATTGTAAATTTCACTAATGAAAACTCTTTTAATGATGTTGCGTGACAATGGACACATCCGTTGTTTTGTTCTTTTCTCTTTGACATGAGAGGAACAATGGACATAACTTTATAGGAGGAGGTGGAGATAGAAGAAGTCCATTGCTTTCGGCCTAAGTAACGAAACATATCAGTTTACTTTGTTTTTCAGGTTTATATTGCCTCAGGTTTTGAGTATACGAGTTAGACAAAAAATTTATTTTGATATTAAATATAAGATTTTAATTCACTTTACCTGTTAAATTTATAGTATTTTATTCAAAGTATTCTTATTGATTGCATATATTAAGAGAGCTCTTAATTAATGGGTAGTTCCAATGCACACAATTGAATAAAATAGTTTCGAAAAAACAAGACACATTTGTCACAAGTAACTACTACTCAAGGTCTTTATTGTAAAATCTCACTAACTAATTTCCATTTATGAATAAAAACAAATAAAAATATTAAATTCGTCATAAAGTTTGAGTAGTTTTTAATATTGTTCTCATTAACCACACTAAACTTCAAAATGATATTAATTTTTATTCTCTCACTTATCTCATTAAATATGGATATATATAGACAAAATTATTTAATGCTCATTAAAATTATCAAAGAGTTTTTATAAAAAGGACAATTTAGAAAGGCTCCTATAATAAGAACTTGAGGGTGTAAGTTAACTGATTTTTTTTTAATATTCTCAAATTAATGATCTATAGCTCTTATATTAAGCACTAATTAAATATATCACTTTTTTCTTTTCAAAATATCTCATTTGATTGCACATAGTTAACAATTGCTATTAGGTGTTAGTTGTAATGTACATGATTGAGAATATGCTTGAAAAAATAATTTACATTTATTACATATAAAAAGTTTAACTAATTTTTTTAATACCTACAAATTAGTATATTAAACACAGTCCCGAACTCATTTTCCTTGTTTGGCCAGCTGTGATATTGTTATTTATTTTATTTGTCTGTATTTGGAAGACTTCATTTTTTTTTCCATGAGTAAATAAATATAAATAATTTGTGAAACTTATGTTACTTGGTGCATTGTCTCTTCTTTTTTTTTTTTCTTTGGTGAAGCTGTGCATTGTCTCTTCTGCTTGCATAAGTTTTGTCACTGAGAATCAACAGAGAAAAATATTGGGAAATAATAGTAGGCCTGCATTTTAAGAGAAAGTCGAAATGTTTTATTCTTTAATTAATATACTATTTATTAAAAAAAAAAAGTTATTGTCAACCACACTATTTACAGCCTAGCTAAATTTGAATTCCGTACGGGCTACTCTCATTTTTAATGTGATTCAGGGATGAGAAGGTGTTGTTTTTGACCAGCAAGGGATGAGAAGATGTTGACTCAACTATATAATACATTTTTCATGATAACGATAACCATTGCTTTCGTGTATTATATTTAGGGTTAAGATATACATCTAATACGTGGAAATATTTTTTCGTGTGTATCCAGCATTTTAAATTATTTTGTAGTGCATCTAGTATCCTAAAATATTTTTTACGAGCACCTAGCACCCTGAAATATTTTTTTTACCTTGGTGCTGGATGCATTGAAAAATATTTTTGGGCACTGGACAAATCTTAAAAATACTTTGAGATGTTAGATGTGTCAAAAGATATTTTACAGTACTAAACGCATCTAAAAAAATATTTCAGGGTGCTGGATGCACCACAAAATATTTCAGGATGTTGGATGCACTTGAGAAAATACTTCGAGGTGCTAGATGCATCTTAATCCTTATATTTAATAACATTGTAAACAAATTTTAATTTCATTATTGTCTATACAAATATTTCTATCTTCACCCATGGAGTTTTATTTTTTTTAAAAAAACGATGCTAAATTCTGCGCTAGAGCATCTTTTATTATTCGTTAGTTTCTTCTTTTCGCTTGTAATTAACGATGGTCTTTTTTAAAATTGAAGTTTTTGTACAAACAATTTCCCTAAATTTTATATTATCTATATATATAATAATATTTTTGAATTCTTAGAATATATGTAAATCACTTCTTTAATTAGTATGTATGTTCAATATTGGTTGTTGGAGGTTACGCGTAAAATAAAAAGTTTATAAGAGCGGGGATTTATTTGTCAGATTCTAAAGATAATGAATTATTTGTAATGATTTATTATTTAAAATTAAAAATATATGTGATTTAATTTATTTTGAAATTTTTAATTTTAAAACTTCTCTTTATAAACAAAGAGGGCAAATATAATGGATTCTTTGTGTATCCATTGGTTTAAAGTTTGTTTTGTTCTTTCCAACCACTGATTCATGGCTAAACTTTTTATATAAACCATTGATTCGATTCAATTCCATTAATATTTGGGACAAATATGTCAGAATAAAAAGACTTAAGTGATGGGAAAAAAAAAAGGTAAAAAGACTTAAGTTTATGCCTTTTCATAATTTTTCTAAAGTTTAATTATATATAATTTAGTCAAAATTTTATATTTGAAGTTAGAATATGATGAATACACGATTTAACAACATAAAGTTATATATTAATACGGATAAAGGTTTTTTGTTCAACTTAATACATATGGAAATAGATAATTGATTGAATATTGATAAAAAAAAAAGGCTCACGTAAGTTAAAAAATGAAATAATTGATTTTTTCCAACATTCCAAAGTTACTACCAAGTTCCAAGTGGCGTCCATCCATATATATATATATAGATGCACAAGGAGACTGCATTAAAACATCTCTAATTAATTAAGCTAATATATGTTTATGAACACGACAAAATGAGCATTTAACATTGCAATTATCAATTATAAATTCGTTCAATTATATAGGCATTTAACTTACTATAGAATTGCACAAGTATGAGAACGTATGACAAAACATGCAAATTTTTCTTTCAATTTAATTCAACCACCGTTTTGGTGAACATAAGAACTAATTGTAGATTTAAATTGGTTCTGAATATAAGATTTTAATTCATTTTGTCTCTCATATTTATTTATTTTTTCTCAAGTAATCTCTATAATTAAGACGTTTTATCAAATAGTACTTTCAACGCATGTGATTAATAAGAATATTTAAAAAAAAACAACATATTTATTATAAATAACTAACTCGACTAACATCTTTAGTATTGGCAAATTAATTACGTAATTTTTATATACCAAGGACCAGAGGTAATAGAACAAATTAAGACCAAGCATCACCAGAGAGAAACACAAAAGGAATGTACAGCGAAATTGAAATCACTCCATCTATATATAAATGCATGCATGTACATATAATTAACATTAACCAGCAGTCTCAGACAGATTTAACTTTACGAGGAAAAAGTACGCAAATCTATAATAATTTGGTTTTGAATTCCATACGTACAGTTCAAAAAGTTTCATCGGTTTTGTTGATAAGATCTCGACTGTACACTTCATCCTGCTCATAAAGAATGAGGTGACACTACGAAGTACTAACATGACTGAGAGATCTTCTTAAACTGTGCATAATATCCCAACTTACATATATATCTTTTTACTATTATTCTTTCTCTATTCACTCAACTATTATATTAAACCTGACGTATCTATGAACTTCGACGGTTGAGAGATTATTAAACATTCCTAGGGCCAAAAGAGGACGAAGATCCTAAGGTAGTAGGATGGCTCTCTTTATTGTTGTTAACGGCTGCAGCAGCAACAGAAACCCTAAACCTAGCATCAGCTGAAACATTCTTCTTCTTCTTATCATCATCATCGTCTTCTTTCCCACGATCTCTAGGGCAGAGAAAAGAGTTCAGTATTGATCTGTTTGGCATCCAAGAAAAACCTGATGGTTGATGAGTTGCAGAGAAATGACTGGTTTTATAATTAGGGTGGTTGTTTGTGAGATCAAAGACATGGCCAGCTTTAGAAGGATGATGATTCTGATTATTATTAGGGTTTAGGGCTGTGATATTGTAAGGGACGAAAGTAGAGGAAGAGGGAGAAGAAGAAGCAAAGGAGGGTTGTGAAGAGTCAAGGAACATGAAGGAATTAGCTCCTGTGGAAGCAGTAGAAGCCATGGCTGTGGCACCTACAGGTAAAGGATGATTATGTGTTCCTTCGTAGGTTGTAATTAAGATTGACATGTCCTCTATACATCTTTGTACCTGAAATTAAGATATGAGATTCACATAATAATTAAATAAAATTAATTTTGAACGCACAAATCCTATAATCGCATGCCTCTTCACTGTATATTCATATGCACATCCTCTCAGTTTATCTGTTCCTGTTCCTGTTATGGTTATTCTTTTGAAGACTCCTATACGTGGGATACTAAGCGACTAATCAATATGGTTTAAGACTATTTTGAGAATAAATAAATAAATTATTGTTGCTTTTGTAATATATATAATTACCATAATGATAAAAATAACCGGATCCAGGTGTAAATTAAAACTAAAATATCTGATACGAAAACATTATAGTCCCGTTCGATACGAAACATTAAAAATAAGAGATGAGGATTGGGATTAAAAAGGAAAAAACTATATTAAAAGACTATTTAGCTTGAATAATTATTTGATACCTAGAATCAGACAAATCCATATATGTGGGATTAGAAAACACCATGGGGAAAATATATTCTCCAATCCTATCTACATAGGATTGCCCAATCCCACGTGATAAGAAATGCTAAATATCTTTAATTTTTAACACAAGTTTTCAATTTCAATCTCAATTCTTACTCCTCATTTTCAATGCTTCATACCAAGTGGGACCTATATGTTCTTCAGTCAGTCACGTAAAGTAGCATACATGCATATATATAAAACCATATATGTTAAAGCTTAAGAGAGATTAAATAATCTCATGTTGATAAATTTTATAGAAATCAACATGTTATATATTTCTTTATAATATGAAACAATGACTTATAAATAATGCAAATAATAGATTTATTATTATCTACGTACAGAAAGGATCCTCGTATAAATTTGCTTCGACGTAATATATACAGTTGATTAATTTTACTTTCTCATCCTTTGTGTTAAGTCACAAGTTCATGTTATTTATGTTGGGATCATATATATACATTCTATATTATTAATATGCATGGTTTAATGAGAAATTAAAAACGTAAGATTACTTACCTGTTTCCTTACAGGGCATCCTGGAGCTACGGTGCATCGATAATAGGCACGAGGACATGGATTTCCTTTGGCAATTTTCTGCCCATATTTTCTCCACTGGCAACCATCATTCATCTATGTATATACGAAAATAAAAAAAGGAATGAAACAAGAGAGGAATTAATTAATTAATTAATTCATAAAATAATAGTGAAAATATGAATATTAATTAAAAACTCACAGTCGCTGAGTCACATCTTGCTCGGACACAAACCCTAGCCTTTCTATTTGAAGGAGAAGCAGCAACAGTAGCAGAAGCAGAAACAGGCAAGTGATGATGATGATGAAGCCGATTCAACTGATAATTGGGAGAAGCCACATGATCTTGTTTGTGATTATTAATGTTGCGTCCTCCATAATCTTCATCTTCTGAACTTGTACTACTTATTGTGTTTAACCTTAGTGATAATCCCAAATCATCCTTAATAATGTTAGTGTTTGTCGGTGGTGCTGGTGGTCCTTCTTCTTCACTACTTGTGCTGGTGTTTGCAATATTATTATCATTATTGCCTTGGAGTGTGAGAGAGATTTGAGGATCCTATATACATGTATAGATGATGAGATCCACAGTATCAAAACTAAATCCAAGAATAATCTGATTGAATAAACAAACAATAATGAGAATTTCATTTGACGACATGTACTATATTAATTAATTAATTACCTTCTTGTTCATATTGTTGAGAGGAGGATTATGGATGGCTGAGAATTTGATTTGGAGATCATAATAGTCTTTCGTGGTTTGCTCCACTACTCTCCTCAACACTTTGTTTTCCTCTTTCATACGATCCATCTCCATTTTTAACACTCTTAGCTCCTGCAAAATCATCATAAATATTCACCCTCATATATATATACACACTCCCTCCGTTCCTTGTTATAAAATCCTTTTTGAGTTAGTCTGAACATTTAATATATTATTACCTATTTTATTTCTAGTTTAACGCATTTAATATATTTTCTTTCTTCATTTATCTTACCATTACTCTCTCACATCTACCCATTTATATATAGGGGTATATTTTGGAAAAAATTGCATTTGCTACATATTAATTGCTTTTAACTAATTTTAACTGTTTTCTTAAACCCTGCAATTTAGTTAAAAGAATCTTATAATAAGAGACGGAGTAGTATATGTATATACATACACACACCTTCACATACAAGCAATGAATGATTAAAGGGTAGAATTTTCATGGGATTCATGTTTAAATTTCTGACTGGAATTCCGATCACCTACTCTGTCCCTAAATCACAGTTTCGTTGTATCTAGCTCCTTGTCTTCACAAATAGTAACATACAAGTGTATAATTATATATATGCGCATGGGAAATGATTTTAACTTTTGATGCTTGCCATTTTCTTTTCTGATCTCCATCTCTTACAGAATGTGTCATGTGTAATTAATCAGATTTTTGTGATTACCTCAGATCTAAGCCAACAATTGATCGTTTATTGTCGAGTGTGTGTAGATATATATTAAAGATGCATATAACAATACGATAAAAACAAAAACTTCGAAATTACGTGGGAACGTACCTCTGTGGAAGCTAAGTTTGGATGAAGAGAAATTTCTTCAACTGATGCATCATCGTCTTCTATTTCACCTTCTGTGATCTGTTCATCAGCTGCTTCTTCTAATTCCTTCTTTCCCTTCTCCTCATCAAATAATAATATTCTCTCTCTTTCCTCTCCTTGTTTATTAGCATTAATCTTCAAAGACAGATCAATTCCCATCTCTTCTGCAACTTCTTCTTCTTCTTCTTTCTCTCTTCTCATTTGTACTTTAATTCCTGATCTAATCTGTTGATATAAATACTAACTTTTGAGGCACCAAAGTCAATCCCTCACCCCAAAAAAAGACGTAATCTTACACATACACAAAAGCTACGAGAGACGCATCTAAGCTAGAGCTTTGACTTTACTTCCCCCCTCTTAATTAGCCTCTGTTAAACTTATTTAATTAACTAGTCTATATATCCATATGTACTCCTCCGGTCCTAATTATAAGACCCAATTGACTTATTTGAGGAGATTAAAGAAGTAAGTTAAGTTGGTTATTTATAATAAATAAATGTTGTTATTCCTAAAATATCCTTGCCAATTAAGTATATTGGCTAAAACTATCATTATTAGAAGGATTATCTTGGAAAAAAAATGCATAAATATAATAGAGAAAATGGATTGGGTCTTATAATTAGGACCAAATAAAAAGTCAAATTGGGTCTTATAATAAGGACCGGAGGAGTATATACACACACTATGTTTCAATCTTCAACAAATATTATTATATCTAGGGCATGTGGGCACACATACTATGTATCTCACTTCAATTTACAATAATAACCCCACCCTTTATTCAATTACGTACTCTCCTGTTATAACTAGTTCGCCTTTAGCCATCTTGCCGTCTAGTTATAAAACAACAGGTTTTGATTATTAAACTAGCTAAAGGCTAACTTAAATATAACCATATGATCTAAGTTCCCTGACTTTTTGAAACTTGATAATAAATATATCCCCTTAAACTTCGGAGGGTTTAATTGTACGGGCGCTTAAGTTTTAAGGGGATTATATTTGTACAAAAAATAAAGTTTGAGAGGATATTTGGTCAATAACAAATATATTGTGCTCAAATTGAAAATAATGGAATAATTAGTAGTACGGTAAAAGTCTAACAAGAGGGTTGTTCACATATAGTTCAAAATTCAGGAAAGTTTTGTATGATTTAAACTAAATTAGATTATATAGATACTTCTAAAATTCTGCTAAGCGTAGCTTTTTTGAGTGATTATTTTATTTCACAATGTTTGAGTTCTCGAATCACAATCCTTTATATGCTGGTAACTTGTATATATATTCAATTTTAACATAGGCTATTTTGGGCAAAATTTTTGAATTAGACTAAAGTGAAAGATAAATTTGTATTTGATGGGATAATTACGTATATATTTTGAAGATAAATGACAAGTTTTGTGCAATTATAATAAAATAAAGATTTAGGGATGCAATTTACTCCAAATACAAAGCCACTAGACTCTAAACTAATTAAAAAGTGAATCACAAAAGCACCACTACTCCAACTGTTTGACATTATTAATTTAATTATTTGCAAAAACATATGCTATTTGATCCGTTATTTAAGCCGTCTTAGCGGTGATATAATAATGGCAATATTATTATTATATAATTTTTCATGTGATAATTAACCTTAGGCTATGGACAGCTTAGAAGCTTGCAATTAATCTTCCTTAGTCCTTGCAAATGAACTTTTCATGGCACACGTATAGTCAGTTTGAAAATAATAATTAAATAATTTTTTTATAAATGAAAGTAGTTATTCTCAATTTTTTGGGTAGTCTTTGACAACTTTTTAAACATACATTAAAGTGCTAGTTATCAAAACCAATACAAGAGAGAGCTTGGCTCATCTTTCTATTTCATTTCCTTTCTTATCCTTTCTTGCTTGTTTAATTTTGACGCATTTGTTCTTAAACCTATATTATTAAATTTTCATAAGATTTTAAAAAATTAAACTTGACTATAAATAACATTTACTATCACTCATTCACTTACCTGTATAATAGATACTATCATCAACGTATTTATCAAAAAATTATAGGAAGCTACATTTACAAATTATGAATAATATGATAAACTTATAGGGCTTGCTTCAATTAATTATAAAATGAAATCTAAAACTATCTTCTTTAATATTTTGATCTTGAAATTCATTTTTAGCCAGAAAGGATTTGACAACACGCAATATTGTTAAAAATACTTATAAAAACTTTGAAATTTGACTTTCATTTATACTTATCTAATGAAACTTGATTATATGAATAAGGCGTGCATATGCATATTCATGGGTGAAGATTTGATTATTCAAAATCCTAAATTTTGATTTTTGAATGAAATTAAAGTACGTAAATCTCATGCACGTAAGGCAATTTTTTTCTTAATTATATAATAAGAGAATTTGTTTTGATGATATGTTCATTTAACATTGGTATTTTAATTTTACAGGACAGATCATGAGAGGCACATATGTGTATAGAATTTCTTTTTCACCATGGAATATGAGCTGCACACGAAATCTCACATAAGGAGCTGGATAAACTACTAAATTTTATTTATTCATCGGGATCAGATCTTGAATTTGTCAACTTCTATGTCAGGTACTATATTATTTTCTTATCATCCCGAGGTTAATTATTAATTTAATCTGGGAGTATATGTGCTATTATAATTTATAAGTTTTATTCTATGGTGCGTGTTTGTGATTTTTTTAATTATTTTGTTCAAATCATTATATAATTAATCTGAGTTTTTGTGTAATTAAAGGGGACTCGCAGCCAGGTCTAATGAAAGGTAGTGTTAATTAACCATTAGGCTTAGTGATGTTGAAAATTACTCTTTGTTTTAAAAAATCTATCATTATCAAGGTTTCAGAATTTGTTTGCAATACTATGACTCTAGAATTTTAATGAAGTATTGATTATTTCTAAATTATTTTACACTTAATAAAAAATAATGGCAGGTGAAGCATTTTTTTTTTGCAACAAAATAAAGAGGTGTTTTATTTAAAAGCTTTACTATTCCGTAAGTGTACTGTATATTTTGAAATAAAAGGATCAGAATAAACATTATTTTGTTTCTTTCTTAACTTCAATTATATGCTTTATTAATATAGATAAAATTGTTTAATGAATGGATAAAGTATGCATATATATTTTTAACGAATAAAAATATGATATCATTTTAAAATATAATTTAAAAACGATATTGATAATTTATGTATAAAAATTGATGGTAGACCAAGGTCCACACTAATATAGTACTATAATGAAACTACTGAACCGAGGTGAATTATTGTTGAACTATCTAGGAAAAAGGGAATAAGAGATGGAATCCTTGGCTATCAATTGGATGCGCCCACGTGATTATGTTAACCCACTTGTACAGTACACTAATTAATGAGAAAAGTAATTGAAAAATTCAACATAAGTATTTATATATGACCATAAATTATTGTATAAATATGCTCCTTCTTAATATGAAAAAAAAATCCAAAATATTAGTCACTTTACGAAATATTTGGAATATTAATTATTATAAATAATCATTAGAAATGCTGATTACTCAAGAGAGGGTAAATTGGGTATTGTAAAAATTTAGTTTTTTTTATGAAGATTAAGTTTAACAACACAACGGAGACACTAATAGAGTTATAAAGATGAAGAACAGCATGCATAATTCACAACATTTTATGTTGATTTAATCCAAATATAACTATTTACTTGATTAAGATGTTTTATTTTTTTCACAAACTAAGTTCGATTTGATTACTAATAGAGCCGCAATACATCTTAGAAGTCATCACAACTCCTCACAAACTCTTGTACAATATGATATCACAATTCCTTCAAGATTTCTCAATCTTGAACAAGCTCTTTAATTTTGATCTTCACCTGTAAAATATTTTAATTAAAGAAATGTTAGAATAAAAAAAAAGACCGTCTTTCTCACAAACTATCATAATGTATAATTTTTTTAATTTTTTTTATAGAAGTTAACAAGCCTGCTCTTCCCAACTAGACTAACGGGGTGTTTGGGCACCATAAAAAGTGCTTATCAGAAACACTTTTTTGTAAATCGAGATAGATTTTTTTATATATTTACTTCGTATACCGTACAAGTACTCTTAAAATTATAGTTTTGATTTCATCCAAACACCTTCTTATTCTAACTACGAGAGTTGAGAATTGAACCCTCACCTATTCGCTTAGAGTACAATACCTTCTCAATTATGTTTTGCTCTGCTTAAAGAGACAAGCATGTATCCTTATATTTTATCAAGTGGGCAATAATTAAGCTTTATTTTTGGCCAAGACAATGTTATAAAACTTAGTCAACAAGAAATATAATTGAACTTGCCATCTTGAAAGGATTGTGATTTATCATCCTGTTTTTGTTTTATCTATTATCGACAAATCTTAAACTGGGAGTATGTGAATTAATTTTTAATGCATTTATTTAATGTTATTGTCATGTCAAACTTAAGCATTGTCATATTATTCATTTATTTAAAGATATATAACTCTCTCAATATAAATTTTTTATTTGTGAGATTTGAGCTCTCAACTTTAAGCATGAAAAATCAATTCCCTTTTAGTAACCTTCATAATCACTTTTAATCTTAATATATATTTTTTAATGCACATTATAAAACTTAAACTCAATACCCTACCTTCAAATTGAAAAACAAAAAAAATCTTACCTTGAATCCTTTCTATATTGCCATTGACAATAACACATTTAAATTGATTATTTTCGAAGGCAAAATAATATAAATGAAATCATGTAGTAATCAAGAAGTGGAACTCTGGAAAATAAAATAAAAAGTAAAAAAAAAATCCAAGTAATTAATACAGGCATACAGCGCAAAGTGAAGACAACGAGAAGTGGCTGCGGCGTCAATTGCTGGCGGGCAAGCACGAGGGCACGCCCCCATGCACATGCAGCCGTGCTTCCAGAAATCCAAGACTTCCGCTTTTCAAGGACTATACACACGCGTATGATTAATTATACTATGTCTAAATTTTTAATATAAAAACTGAATAACTAATTTATAAAAATTAAAAAATTAGTTAAATTAGTTATTTATAATAAATAGATAATGTTTTTTTAAAAAATATTCTTATATCGATCATGTGTATTGAAATTATTGGAGATAGGAACTATCCACCCTTAATGAAAACTCTCTAATATGTGTAATC